AAGGAAACCCCCATCAATACTAGAATGAGTAATAACAATTAGTGGACTTAAAACTATTTTTCTGAAAAATTACTTTTTAAAAGAATGATTTTATAAATTTCAAACGACAATAATGCGAACTGTTTAGCGAATGAATGCCGGATGTTTCCATATAAGGAAACGGCTAAATGTCGCCTTCAGGGCAAAGACGGTCATGGTCCTCCACAACTTTCTATCTCACCTGGTTCTTAGTTGCCCACCTCCTTTGCTAAGTGGGGACTGTTCCACCATCCATTCGCACAAGCTCGTCTTGTAAGTATCTCGCTGCCATGTCTTCCCCTATCTCTCTCGTCCTCAATAAGCCTCGTGAGCAATCTCAGTTTTCCAACCTCATTACCATTACCATTCCAAAATGTCGCCAAATCACAAAGAACTAACAACACGTTTATATAGTATGTGATTATAAAATAAAGGGTAATGGTGCAGCCACTCGAATCCAGGTATGCCAGTCTACTAGGGCAGCTAACTAATACCCACTGAGGCGCCTCCTCAGGCAAATTTTTTCAACACCCTCAGAGACCACCTGCGTCAACGTCAACTATTCTGAGCGGACCTTAGTTACAGTTTCTGTGAGAGCGCGCGTTATCCAGCGTGATTAACAGACTGAACAAAACCAACACGCTTAAAGCCTTGGTCACGATGTCATGTGACTGCCTGCTAGCACAACCACCGACGACTCCCATGGGTTCCGTCTACCCAATGTCACTCACAAAGCTTAACCCGTGGTATGGTTTTCAGGCACTTTCCAAAGGTGCCGCACGCTGAGATCGCCACATCCAGAGCGATAACATCAAGATGTGTCAGCTTTCTGACAAATCGACCATGGTGAGATTCGAACCCTTGTCTCATCATGGTCAAGCGGACGTTCCAACCACTCGGCCCATTATGTATGTGATTAACACCAGGAAATATCACAAGTCTTAATAGAATTTAATATCCATAAGAACCTTTCGTCTAAGAAGAGTTGATCTGTGATGACCCTAGTATGTACTGGGTTCACCCTAAGATATACTAAAGTAAGATTTGTATTCTATATTACCTCAGAATATCAAGACTAAGACATATATATATATATATGTGTGTGTGTGTGTGTGTGTGTGTGTGTGTGTGTGTGTGTGTGTGTGTGTGTGTGTGTGTGTGTGTGTGTATACAAGACAACCAGATGTCAAAAAATTAAATAAACGCCAGATTTGAAAGGAGGCGAATGGAAAGTCCCTCGCATCCTCACAAGAAGAAAAATCGAACGTTTGAATAAAGGTCAAAACCACATGCCACTTGATTCAACCAACGTTAATTTCAAGGAGCTCAAAAGTGTATGAACAGTTATTTTACGTTTAACTTCTTTTATTTTACATTTAATCTCATATTATTATTAGACGTTACTAACGCAACATTATACTTATCCTCGTCGTCGTTGGCGGAAGTCGTTGCCGAGTATTGGGGTGCTCGTCGATATTTCCTTCTGCGTGAAATGAGTCCTGTGTTGGATCTGAAGAGACGTCCGCAGCTACCAAAGAGTCTCAGAGATGGAGAGCTCTGGCTTTTAGTTGATCTTTCTTCGTCTCCCATTTGTCTTCTGGTGTTTTTGAAGGATGTTTTTTTTTCCGTGGACTGCTCTTCTCCAATTAGTTCTTTCTGCAGCTTCCGTTTCCCAATTAACCGGATCAATTTCCGTCCTCACCAAGGTGTTTTTAAGCTGATTCTTCAATCGACAACGTGGAGCTCCACGTGGTCTCTTGCCAGATGCGAGCTCTGGGAAGAGGAATTGTTAGGGTAGGCGGACGTCTGGCATTCGGGCATGGTGTCCGAACGATCGAAGTCATTAGCGAGTCATGATGGTTTTTAGGATCTCCATCTTTGCGCAGAAGAGAACTACGTTGTACGTAATCTGATTCTGCCAGGTGTTCCGTAGGATTTGACAAAGTTTCATTTGATGGAGTCATTCAAGTTTGCACATGTCTCTTCGGTAGAGTACCCAGGTCTCACAGTCGTTCAGGAGATTCAAGCTTACAACAGCTCGATAGACCATGAGCTTGGGAGTTTGTGTAAGCCAAGGATATCCTAAGACTCTTGAATAGCTCTCCGTATGCTGCGTGGAAGGCCTTGATTTGGTTATCGACATCTTTTTCAGTGGATGCAGTGATGTCAGTACGCAACCAAGGTATGGAAATTATTCAACACTCTCCGTTGTTCGTTGATAGTAATTTTGACCCCAGGTAGATTATACTTACATACAGCAGTTAAATATATATTTATTCATATTATTAAAATATATGACTTTTTCTACCATTCTTAAATTGAACAAGCACTAGTGAATTTCTGAAAGTTCAACTAATTTCAATGAAAGTAATATTAAAAATAACAACAAAGAATTGAGTTAATTCCAGCGGTTAAAGCAAGAAATGTTTAACTTGGAGAAAATGTTGCAATAATTTTACTGAAATCATCCATTGTCTGTGGAATGTATAAAATATTCATATATAGTCGACTCTCCCGTCAAGTTCGACGTATGAGGGTCAAGAAGATCAGTTCCCAGGAAACCAACAGCCCGACAACGACACATGAGATTTGATTATAGTGGTGAAAGTTTCGTGCAGGACCAGCCACACTTTTTGAAGGGCCGAATTCAGAGACCTGGTGCACTAAGTGCCACAAGGTCCCCAAACGACCCTCCGCAGGTTTTGAATTCAGAGTTGTCCTTCTCCTAGACCCGTTGCCATATATATATATATATATATATATATATATATATATATATATATATTAATTTCGCCTATCATCCGGTTCACACCCCACACTGGTATTTTGAACAGGAGTAAAGAGTTATTCCTTGCTTCCTGTCTAGGATTGACTTTCCGGTTCCTTCTAAAGTCTACATCAAGTCTATACTTCTAACGTCTCTGCCTAAACTCTGAAATTTATTTACTATTTATATTTTATTCCTCAATCGGGGGTAGACATATTTGACTATCGCCCTATCCATACTCCTCCTCGGTGTTTTTGAACAGGAATAGATATTTAACCATTGTTTCCTTTTTAGGATTGGGTTCTCATTTCTTTCTAAAGTCTTTTTCATTCTCTTTCACACATAGTATCCCCCCTTGCGTCTTAGTGGCTTCATCGCCTTGCTTGGGTGTTAATTGATTAAAAAAAAGTTAATGTAGTTATTATAAACATAAAAAAAGAATGATCGTGGGAGCTATCTTTTTTTGTTCATGATTTAGAACACGCAAAGCATTTAGACTTTCACTTCACGCCTAAATATTCTATGACAAACACTGTATTTACTTTGGCAGTTGATATTTTTGGCACAAGCTCACAAGTATGCGAGACTCAAATACGCTCCTCATTTGTAAAGATCTGCGAAACAAGCTTGAGAACCATTACACCACAAATTTTCGCTTTTTACTTTGGCAGCTAAATTAAATGCAGGGCCGTAGCAGAGACAATTTTTTTTTGGTTAACATGGTTAGGTGCAAGAACATTTAAAATTTCCAGTACCTCCTTTCTTTGATTTGTTTTCTTCTTTCTTGTATTTCTTTCTTTATTGTATTTTTTAAAATAAAAGTAAAACTCAGTAAAAAATACTACAATTGGTAAAAAATTGGTGGGAGTCAAGCCAACCCCGGCTGCTACAGTCCAGAATGGTTAAATCCTATTCGCATTCTCCATGCGACCATATCAGTGAATCTGTTTCTGTTTATCGTCACTTTATTAGTCTGTCTTTAAAGTGTGTAGTCTAATGGTTAAGGACCTGAATAAAGAAATCGGCGACATGCACTTCGCTTCAATCCTGACGTAAGGGACAAAATATTAGCCGTCTGTCATCTCTTTGTACTGTCAATCGATGTTTAAAGACGAGAACTGTCATTTTTGTTTCAAAATGTCTTCAGAAAGTCAGCATTGCTTTAGTTTGTTAAGCGCGACGGTCTTTTTTTCTAGATGTTGTGGGTCACTCACATCATAGCAACAGAAATCACTTCGTTTTCACAGGAATAAAAACATACGCTAAAATCATATTAAATTGCAAATTAAAATCATACAATTTATTTATTTGTTGTATACTGGTGTTTGTGTATTTTTGGTTACACGTGTTTTAGAGTTGCATTTGATAAAAGGAAGAAGTCACTTCGTATTATTACAAGCAACGCCACGGAGAGAGGAGTTGGACGTTTTGACCTTCCAATAGTCGTTAGCGAAGAGACTGAATTCAGCGTCTTTTGGCGTTTAAGTATTTGTTACATTCTGGAAAAACTTTTATTTTAATTTTATATTTAATTTATTTTAAACAAAGTTTTAATGTTATTTGTTTTATTTTATTTATGATATTCGTTATTATTATTATTATTATTATTTTATTTTTATTCATTATTAAAAATAATAATGTCCCTACATCTTTCACAAACTCTTAAAGTATGAAGATGGCTAGATTGAATTTTCTATATTTCAGAGAAACAGCCTATTCATTTTAGGTGAAGGTTCCTAAAAGATCTAAAACGATAACAAACCCAATTGATAGTTCTGTTTTCTCTTAAAGACTATTTAACAAAACTGGCGTAAGAATTCAGAAAATCCCCAAATCCTCTTCTTTCAAGAACAACAATTTCACGAAGAGTAAATAAGAATGTAAAAGTTGTGTTAAAAGAAACCGTTACTGTCCACAAAGTGGAAGAGGTAGCCAGAAGCCGGAAGTTAGATGGGGGAAACATTTAGGAGCGGTTAGAGAGCCAGAAGACCATCTGTCTGGAGGCGAAGATCTCAAACGGTGCACAAATATCTCTGGCCTGTTCAACTTCCTTGGCTTCCTACACAATCTCACAGAATGGCGTCTTTTCATAGACTCTTCCAATCGATGTTCGATTGCTGTGCTTCTGCACAAAGAGAACAAACACTCCAGCATTCTCATTGCCCACTCAGCCCATCTGAAGGAGTTGTACGACAATATAGAGCTTCTTTTGGAATTTGTCAAGTATAAGCAGTACTAGTTAAGTCTATGTGGGGATCTCAAGGTCATTGAGCTCCTTATAGGTATGCAAGCGGACTTGACGAAGTATTGTTGCTTTTGTTGTTTCTGGGACAGTCGAGCTGTATCTAAGCACTACAAACAGCAATACTGAGTGCCTAGGAATATTTTCGTGCCTGGTGAAAAAAAAAAGTGCTAAAGAAAATCCTCTGGTGAACATGAACAAGGAACTTCTTCCTCCTCTTCGTATCAAGCTTGATCTAATGAAGAATTTTGTGAAGGTCCCGGACAAAAATGGTTTGCACTCTATCAATTTTCAAGGATTATGTTTTAACTTCTAAAATTAGAAATAGTTTGTTGACCGTGTTTTGAAACAAAAAAATGAAACATTTTATAAAACATACATACAACAAACTATTTCTAATTTTAGAAGTTAAAACATAATCCTTGAAAATGTCTTACTGTATAGCCGAAAGCGCTCGGATAAAAAGAACATTCGGATAATTTTTATATAATTTATCATCCGGAAAGAAAAAGATCATTAGATCGCACGAGAAATTATATCAAAAACTAAATAAAAGCACCTTGTCAGTCGTTTTTAATGAAATGTGCATATATATATATATATATATATATATAGTAATTTTGAATTTTCTGGTGTGTTGTTATTCTTGGGGGTAAGATTAGCTGTTTTAAATAATTTGGAGTAAATAATTTTACTTTTTGTTCAGGTGGATTGCGGTATTGCATTTCTTTATGATATTTCTAAGTGAAATAAAATAAACAAACACACTACCTCAATTGAATTAAGGCAGGTGACTTTTATTTTTCCATATAATATTTAAGAATAACCGACGTATCTTCGAAATTGAGTTAACTCTAAACAAGACGACGTATCATTGTATATATATATATATATATATATATATATATATATATATATATATATATATGTATATTTAAAGAAAAATTTAAAGAAAAACAGATCACTTTAAGGCTCCATTGAATAGTTTATTTCACCAGAGACCTTTTAAAGTACCCTGGATCATCAGACATCACTTCCAAAAGGTGAAACGAAAAATGAAATGAAAATTTACACTTTTGACGGGTAGTATTAAGTTTATGTAATTTAACAGAGAGGGTAGCGAGGAGTGGTGTGAGAGACATGGTCGAGTTTAGAGAGGGTTTATTTTAATATTTCTTTCTGTTATACTTAGTATTGAGGAAGGAGGGACCGGACATTGACCTATTTAATCGGTTAACTTAACGGAAATGATATGTTGAAAGGGAAGGAGAGAAGAGAGAAAAAGAAAGAAGGGGGAAGTAAAGATAGATAGATAGATAGATAAGAATCGTAGATAGATAGATAGATAAGAATCATAGATAGATAGATAGATAGATAGATAGATAGATAGATAAGAATCATAGATAGATAGATAGATAGATAGATATACAGTATTTACATTAGTCGGACTATTGTCCTCATCTTTGTCGCCATATTTGTCACAACGTTTCGGCCGTTGTACGCTCCGGCTTTCTTCAGGTGGTTGGAATTTCGAACTGAACCCTTTATTTCGATCACTGGGGTAGACTGTTCTAGTTCCACGTGCCATGTTTGATGGATGTCAGTTATCAGTTATCTCCTGCTAATTTTCCCTCAGAAAGTTCTCCACAGACTTAACCAGGAATTGAACTCACCTTCTTTGGGTCTGTCACTAGATCTAACCAACGCCTTTATCCACTGTACCATGTGTCCTTGAGGAAATTCCAACCACCTGAAGAAGGCCGGAGCGTACAACGGCCGAAACGTTGTGACAAATATGGCGACAAAGATGATGACAATAGTCCGACTAATGTAAATACTGTACATAATACCTCATCTCAGAAATATAGACAGACATAGATAGATAGATAGATAGATAGATAGATAGATAGATAGATAAGAATCATAGATAGATAGATAGATAGATAGATAGGAAATTCCTAACATCCCTTGTTCGTGCGGACGTGTAGTTGCACCAACAATTTATCTATTATCTTTCCCGAGAATTTACAACAGTTTTTGGATATTAAATGACAAAAATAACTCTGTGCCCTGAAGGGATATGGCATTAAAAAAAAAAAACAAATTTAATTTGGTGGCATAGTAATTGTGATTTCAATCCCTGCGTTGGGCAGCGTAAACTTTAACTCAGTGGAAACGGCGCGAGAAATAATTGAATAGACGAGATATCCGTAGACATGTTCATCAGAATGAGGACAATCCGTTCGAAATTCCCTGAAGGCTACTCGGGCTGATAAACACTTAATAAAGGCCTGAGAGTACAACTGCTGACAAGTCGTGATAACAACAACAAAGATAAAGACAATAATCTACGTGTAAATAATGATAAGTTTTCGTCCCAGAAATTCAGACAGCAATGGTGAACAGATTACGGGTGAAGCCACAATCGAGGGCTGAACAGACAAACCATTTGCCAGATTGTTAACTAATGTCCCATTGCGAGCCAGGCTTCTTTTATCGATTTCTCATCGGTTGGCATGCTACACTAGTAATAAACAATATAGAATGACTACAATTTTAATTCTTACATTGACAGAGTCCTGGCCATAGAAACAGGAAAACTTAACATTTATCTGTAGCTACATGTTTTGCGATAATGTAGGAATTAGCAAGTACGAACGTATACACTAATGATAACGATACATTGATATAATTAATTATTCTATTTATGAAATGCTTTATTATGTTCACACCAGTAGTATCCAAGGCGGTGCAGTGGACTAATGGTTGGCAGCGCTGAAAATTAAAATCAGTGAGCCGAGTTCGAATTTCGACTGAAGTAGTTTGTATTAATTTCGTAATAAATTCTGTTAGGAAAAGCATAAATCTATCTCTTTTTACACGCTAGACAGCAGGGCAAACTGGGCTCTCGATAGCATTGGTTGTCAACTAGTCTAGGAACGAAGTAGCAGTTTCTTCTTTCCATGAGCAGACTCCCGAGAGAATGCTTTCCCGAATACTGCAATCTTAACCTCTTCATGTCTAAGGTCTTACTTATCGTATGTATCTTCATAATTTGCATTTACTTCTCCCTCCTGCGTACAAACAACAACGTAATTTAGTAACCGTCTGCCTTGAGTGTCTTTTTAGCCTTATCTTGGATGAATAATTGTAAAATAATCAAGCTCAAATGTATCCGGCACCTAGTGAGGACCGAACTCACTATTCAGTCGTATTTGATTTAGCGAGACAAGCTTGCTAAACATTACACCACGACGAAGCGACCTTTGCAAATAATGTTATGTTATTCATATACATGAAGTAGTGAACTTTTTGATGTTGAAGAATTGATATCCTTTAAAGTTTGAGCTCTGACTACCGATTAACCAGTGGTAGAGAACAATGACGTAATGCTCAGCCACCGGTTGAACGGTAGGTAGAAATTTGTAACTATTTTTTTTATATCTACCATGAAACATTACATGCTAATTATTTGCTAATTTTGACTCAGGAGCCCAGGCGGAATGGTTAAATTTTTTCAGGAACGCAGTGTTGAGTTAATGTTTTTAAGATTAAATTTAATGGTAAATATTACTATGACATATTGTAGTGGAAACAGAGAAGAATCTCTTCTAGGATTGTTACCTCTGCTAAAGATTCTCTTCCGGTTCCCTTGCTAATTTATTTTAATCTACTTAAACAGCCTGGTCCACTCGTAAAAGCTAGGAAGAATTTTGAAGGACAAATAATTGTTTTAGATACACATTAGACTTTCCTTATGTCCCGATACCTATCAGAATCGAAAAGTATTGATTTTTCATCATTTTAGAAAGGGCTTTTGTTCATAATATCGATACAGTGTAAAATCCTTCACTTCTGAAAGAGTAAACGCAAATTAGCTGTTTGTATTCTAATGTCAAGTTCCAAAGTGTGCTTACGTCATCTCAGTTTTGGCGAAAGCCTATACGGGGAAGTTTTAAAAAATATTAAGCACAAGCACCAGGAGGCATCCCCCCATTCCTTCCAGAGGGGGTCTGCTTTTATTGAGTAACTGAGGCATCTCCAAAAGGGAAAGTGCGAAGAGGAGCGTGGGCAATTATCCATGGTATTGCCGTTAAACCCACTTTAAACTTCGACCTTGTATCACATTCGGTAGCAACGTGGCCGCACTGAAAAAAAAATACATACGTCATTGATATCTGTTTTCGTACGCATATATCAATGACGTATGCAGTTTCAAACTTGGCATTTGTAAACAAACTCTTTCAGAAATCCGGGACATTTTATACTGTATCAATATCAAGAATAGGACCCCTCCTTTTGAAATGACAAAAATTAATATTTTTCGATTTTGACAGGGTCACGGCTCAAGACAGGTCTACTGATAATCTACAAAAATCTTTTAAAAATATGTTCTCTATTTTTATGAGTGACCCAGTCTATTTAAGTAGTGACTTTTCTTATGGTGTTAGCTATGGATTCCCCCTATTGATTAGTCATTCCTAAATATTCTGAGGCATTAGTGTACTGACTATAGAGGGCCGTATTTTAGGCCTTTTTGGTAGTCCATTACAAGACTTTGCCTTTTTATTTTTCCTTTTTTGAAGAATATCTAGTCATCTTTTGATTTTTCTCCAGCATCCTTCCTTCATGCCAAAAAATAGCATGTGTCACAATCAGTGGCGTAGCTAAAGGGGGGGGGCGAGGGAGGCGGATCGCCCCGGGTGTCAGCACAGGAGGGGTGACATAATGTCACCCCCAACAAAATTTTTCAACCAGGCTAAGGTGCCAAAAATAGTCTGAAAACAGTGGTGGAGACACAGGGTTTCGCAGGCTGGCATATGACCCCCAGAAATAATTTATGACCCCCCCAGTTTTGTCCCACCGCCAGAAATATTCTAATAAATTGTCGGGAAATTTGTGAGTAGGAAAAATAGCAATGTTTTCAGCTTTTGATTTGAACTGATTATTTTGTGGTATTGGATTTTGTCTTGGATCATACATGCAAACAGTAACGTACCGGTCAGTAGAGTAAAGTAGAGGTAGAGCATGTATGAAAATTTAGCTACAGCTAACCATTCAGCATAGGGTGAATCGGGGTCATTGGGGTGACATTTGAGCGGACCGCCCAGGGTGACGTTTACTCTAGCTACGCCACTGGTCTCAATCGAACATTTGATCTACGAAGAGTTGATCTGTGGTGTTCCCAGTATGTATTAAGTTAATTAAGCTCTAAGAGATACTACATTTGTACACGGTGTCACCTCCGAACGCCAAAAGATCTAGGTGCCTCAAGGTTTAACCTAACGGTAGGCCTGAAAGCTACCAGTTGCAGAATTGGGATTTGGGTCTCACAGGATGTCGATGAGTTCACCAGCACAATGAGGAATAGAATCCAGCTGAACTTAGGAAAAACACACACACACACACACACACACACACACAGAAAGAGAGAGAGAGAGAGAGAGAGAGAGAGAGAGAGAGACGCATAATGACAGGATTTTATATAAACAACCGACCCACGTGGTGAGAAGGCATAGTGCCTCATATCCTCAACAGAAGAAGATCGAACGTTCGAAAAAAAGACCCGAAACCACATACTACTTTGAGTCAGTCGACATTAATTTGATATGGGCCAGAAATGAATAATCACTTATTTTAGGAATGAAAAATTTAATATCGTATTATTAGCCGACGTTACTAACATAACATTACAATTGTAATCTTTCTTTACTTATATATACTTAAATTGTCAAATGATAAGATCATATTTATGTGTATGCAAAAGAACTTATGTGAATACACACAAGTATTAATACATTCCCAATCCTCTTTCTCTCTATATAAATGCACTAATAGTATACATATGACGTCACAATCCCGCCCTCAGTCACCGGGCAAGTCTGTGGCCAGCCTTGGAGTTGGTTGCCCTGATCCTCAATCCCAACATGCTCACGCTGTGTTTGTTTTAGATCACAGGGCGGGCAAAAGCCGAGTCGTATACTCAACGTCGCTGACCCGGTAGTTTTGGCGAGAAGATGTCACAAGGAACAAAGTAAGAGACAGCTGTGTAACGCAATAACTTTATATTAAAAGTTCATATAATGAACGTTCTACTCACTAAATTAACAACATGAAGATTATTCAGCACCTTCTCCCTTAAGACCACGTGACACTGTGTTTAGCCACGCTCGGTAAATTGGTACAAAGCTGAAGTCCGATTTCTTCTACACTGCGATTTCTTCGGGTCGACCATTCAGTTTTATTTGGTAGTCTGAAACCAGGCCGGAGTCCGTCCCCCGAAGAGAAGTGGTGGCAGAATATTGATCCGTCAAACACCTTTCATCACGCGTGGGTGCCTCTCGCCATCACTGCTCGAAGGGTACTGGCAATTCTTCCGCTTTCCTTGAAATTCTACCTAGGCCTTTACCTCTCTCTTTGTCTCCTGATCAAATCTGTTCCCACAGGCTAAGCCTGGTCTAGCCCAAATTGTTAATTCAATTATGATCCAAAATTTTCATCAGCGGGAATTTTTATCGCGCCCTTGTTGGGTTGGTTGCGTCTGGAATTTGTCACCTGTCGCTTCCCCTCGGCAGCTCTTTTATCAACAAGTGACAAAAAGAAACAATTCCTTTGTTTTAATAAATTTTATCGCGTCTTCGGCAGACGAAAAAGAACTATCACTACAATTCCATTCCTGTTTTCCTTTGGAAAGTTGTCGATCTTAGAAGTGGCCGAATTTTGGCTTGAGACTTGCTGTTAGCCTTCGTGGGTGGCCTTCCCATTAACCACTACATTCAACAAGTGGCTCACTGACGCTTTATCTCGTTCCTACCCATCACCACGTGGTGGCTTTATCGCACTAAAGGACGGTGAAGCGTGTTCACTTTTCTTGCAACCGGACTGTCTTCGAGCGATTTTTGGTCTTAAAACTGAAACAAAGACATTCCATCAGAGTCCGGGATTGAAACCACAGTTCGGGTCGTCAGAATTCTGACCAGATCAGTAGGGATTACCATTTTGAGCCAGCCTACACATTCTGTAACAGCTGCTTTGCTTTCGTGTTGCATGGCAAACCTCTTAATGCAATGTTTATATCATATTCTTTCTAGTTGGCTATTTTTGGAGAATGCCGCATTTTTTAAAAGATGGATGTATTTATCACAATGCCTTTTCCTTCTCGTATTTTCCAAACATCTTCACTTTTGTTAACTATTCCGGTGCTTCTGTTTCTTTTGATATTTCCATGTTCTATTTTAGAAATTATTCGCGTCTTTCTTCTTTTCTCCGTTGATGTCTACATAAAATTTACTGTTATTGTTTCGAATAAGTACTTTTTTGCGTATATCGCGCAAACTTTCTTTGTACATTTCACCGTTCTTTTCTTGGCCTGTTTTTTTTTTTCTATGTTTTTTTTTTCACTATTGTAAATTTTTCCTTCTTTTGTCTTACTTTGTATGTGGCCCATAGTGTGTTATCGATAGAAAGTCTATTTCAGTAAACTAGCATCTCTTTGTACTTTGGAGATCTAATTTCTTTCTAATTTCCCAAGCCGGTTTGTTGTTCTTATTGTTCAAGGTCGCCTTTGATGTCATAAGCATTTCAATCAACATTTTTGCCTCATCGTACATGCGGTCACTGAGTTCCATTATATTTTTAGTGCCAATTTATTGCAACACTCAATTGACGTGTTCAATTGTTACATTTACTGTTGCCCTTCACAGTAGTCGGGACTTCTTTTATTTTCAACTATTTCTTTTGTATTTCTGTTTGTGTTTTTAGCTTGTCGGTTAGGGTGGGTGTTTTTGAATCTTGTCTTGGAGTTCTTCTCGGAGTATAGGCTTTTTTTGGTTCTTATTTCATTCTTTACGGGACTTGTGCCTCTGTAAATAATAAGTTCACAACTTTTATTAAGGTCTTATGTCTCCATATTTTGATCAAACATTGTCTCTTGCCTTTAACGAATAGATTACTTTTAAGGTAACTGTTGTGGTGTGCTCCCTCTAATGAGGCTATTGTGGACTCTTCCACTTACTATAAAGTTAGTAGGAAAAGTAGGCCTCGAGGGGACGGTGATATAGACTGAACGCTGGTCAACCGACACACACTCCCAAGTCGTGTAACAGACTTCTTTTGTATTTACTGTCCAATACATTAATTACCTGCAACCTCTTATTTTGTTATTCCTTAACCAATTACTTGGTCACAACAGTAACAGCCTTTAAATATTTGTTATGTATTGTTCTTCCATAATTTCTGTTAATCAACAGTCACTTGATAACAACTATGCCTTCCTAGTATACCATCAAAGGAGCACAAGACGGAAATACAGCTAACAATTTCAGGAGGACTATCGTGTTCTTCCTGTAGACTATCAAGTGAACACCTGCTGATCATGATGTATAAATCTTGAATTTGTGATTTATGATTATTGAGCCTATAATTTATTTAAAACAGTTTTAAGGGTACTCTAAAACTCATGAAAATGGGTTTAGCCATAACTGCTTGTAATCAGAGTAACTCCAGAGCTCTTTTATCTGTATTTGCATGTCATACCAAGTATCTGGTGATTCTCATTAGTGAAATCTTCTAGCCTCTTCCTCGGTATCTTCGTGGACACCAGCGCATTCGATATTCAAATTGTGTAGTCACAGCTAAATTAAAATTTTGTTGAATGGTAATTTCTAGCGGAGAAACATTTAGTTACCAAAAGATTCGACATTCGGAGATTTTCTAAATAGACAGCTATTATTTTTAAAAAGTTTAGCTACTTTAGATTTTAGAAGTAGAAAACTATACTGTGGGTAGAAGTTTGTGCTGTTCGAATCTGTACCTGTTTTGAAAATCAGCTTTAGAAAACCTAGTTTTTACTTAAATACGATCACTGACTCCTTTTTGGTTGTTAATCTGGTTAAACCGCAGAATACTGAAAAGTACAGTAGAGAGATATGGTGTGTACGAAAATTATATATAAATATTTCTGTCTGTGAGTGAAAAAGATGGAAGGATGGAGAGAAAGTGAAAGAGAGGATGAGAAAAAGAAAAATAGAGAAGAGAGAGAGAGAGAGAGAGAGAGAGAGAGAGAGAAGAGAACGGTAAAATGATCGAGAATGAGAAAGAGACAGAAACTTAGAAAATGAGAGAGAGAGAGAGAGAGAGAGAGAGAGAGAGAGAGAGATAAAAATAGAAATTGAAAGAGAATTGAGACGGGTATAGAGAAAGAGAATATGAGTCAAGAAGGAGAATAATAGATAATGAGACAAAGAAAGAGAGAAAAAGTAACAGAGAGACAGAAAGTGAATGAAAAAGAGGAAAAGGGAGAGGCGGTAAAGAGGAAATGTAAAGAAAGAAAGAAAGAAAGAAAGAAAGAGAAAGTGATAGAAAGAGAGAAAGATAAAGAAGACGAGAATGAAGAATGGAAAAGGAAAAAATACAACGAGAGAAAAGCGAGGAAAAAGGAAAAAATAGAAAGCGAGAGAGAAAAAGAGAAAGAGAAGTAGAGAGAGAAGAGGATAAAGAGAGAGAGAGAAAGAAAGAAAGAAGAGTGAAAGAGAGAGAAAGAAACCTGAAAAGAAACCTGAAAGAGAGAGAGAAAAGAGAGAAAGAAAGAAAGAAAGAAGAGCGAAAATGCGATAAAGAAAGAAAGAAAGCGTACAACTCATCCATGACCTTATTCTCAGACAGCCTATCCCTAACAGATTTTTGTAAATGAACTAGCGTTTAAAGAGTCACGTGACACGTGTTAACCTTAAATTCAGTTGCAAGACCGACCGGCTAGAAAAACCTGAAGTTTGTTCCAAAAAGAAAATGGGCTTGTTAAGTTGAAATTGCGCATTTAAATGAAAGGTTCGGCCAGAAGAGAACGTTTACTCGTCTTCGGCGAAAGGATTTTCATTGCTGTTCTCTGCCTAAAATGCGGTTTACGCTTCGTTGGGTTGTTCACCATTTGTCCGCTAATGAATTCACCCAGTAGCGTTTGTCTGTAGTCAGTCAGTCCATTCATGTAACTGAAACACGCAGTGAACAAACCTAATTTGATAGCGTAATTTGAAAGACCTTGAACTGGAACAACAGTTCGTTTATTTTTATTTTTTCGATTACATTCCGCGTGTAGAATCGCCCAGCCCCACCCTACGAATTTCATAAAGTACAGGACCATTCTTTTTTTTTATTTTTCTCTGACTTCAAGGATTAATAAGTAAGTCAAAATAGTAGGTAATATATTCCTGACAGAAATGTAATTAGATACATATGCTCTTTAATTGCTGCAAGTGGACCAACAGGTAGCGTAATGTGTAATCAGCGACCCGAGTTCAAATTCTGACCTAATCAGTTGCGTTCACTTTCGCACTAAAGCTCTTGGAGAAAAACGTGAATTCGTCCTTTCTCTCCACTTCCCAGCGATGAACTATATAGCAGGATTGAAAGAGCGTTTCAGTGGAAGTCAGTCTAAGAGAATGAAAATTCTGAATTCAAAACTAAAGAAAGCAACGGAAAACCATTCTGCTATCTTTCCCAAGAAGTCATAGCAGTTCACAGATAATAAAGAAAAGGAAACTGCGGAGAGTCATAATCGCCTAAGTGACATGGCGTTATAAAAAAAGTCACTGAAAGTGGTCGTGCAGAGTGTCGTAACAGCCTTCAGGCTGGGATCAAAGTGTAGTATCTGCCTTCGAGCGGGGGAAATACTTTTTATCTCTCAGTTGTGTGTGTGTCTTCGAACAGAGCACAACTCAGTTGAATCTTTGTCTTTGTGCAGGGCATAACTGAAAATATTATTTAGAGGTGAGCGGTTTCGGAAAACAACTGTCCACGGCAGCACCTCTCTCATTGCGAGAGAGAGAGAGAGAGAGAGAGACAGAGAGAGAGAGGAGGATCAGTAGCAAAACCGACCATTGTGGGGGCTGGGCTATTGATGGACCTGACTCGAATTCGACTCCCCACATTAAATGGACCTTGTGTCAAGTAAATAATGTAACGGTTAGCAAGACATTAAACAGAAATAGTTAACTGAGTTGAGGCTGTTTCCATTAAATTCGTATTAATGTCTTCCGGGTGGGTGGGCGCGTAACGTAGCGGTTAAACCTCGCGGGAAAATGGGACTGGAGAGTAGAGTTCTTTTTCCAATTGAAGTAGTTGCATTCGCTTTCTCACAAATAACCTTGGAAAGGTTGGAATCTACCTCTTCTAACACACCTACCCCGGCTAGGGTTTAATTGCAGGGCAGATTAGTAGACTGGTTATTCTGTCCTTGGTTAGCAACCCGTCTACGAGAGGGGGGGTCATCTCTGAACTGAAAACCGGCTGGATGTGAGTTTATCAACTCCACTCCGTAAAGACCTACTTGTTACAGAAACCACAGCACCAACCAGCAAGCGTTGTGAAGGCAGCCTACAGTGCTAATAGAACATAATGTTAAAGAATAGCCATTTCCTTATAAGGAAACATTCGACATTCATTGACCGAACAGTTAGCATTACAGTCGGTTGAAATTTATAATAATTCTCTTAAAACGGTTTTACTGGATAACAGGCTTCGCAAGTTCAGTAGCTGTTATTGCTCTTTCCAGTACTGATGGGGGTTTTCTTCTTAACCTTTTAACTGAAGTAGCGTGGAAAGTCAACATTTGCTTCGAGTTACGAGCGCTATCTATTTTAGTTGTTCATATCATTGAAAGTCTTCAAGTGACATTTTTTTCTCTTAATTACTAAAAATGTTTGTATTTCTGTAGTGCCATTCCAATGAGGGATGATCCTTTTTTTTTAGGCCTACAGGGTTCACTCTCTTGGAGACATTTTTAATTATTGATATGGGAAAACGGTTGTATATATCTGATAGTTTAGAGGTAGACACCATGAATAGCATATGAGAGCCTAGATTTGACGAGGTTATTTAGATACATCACTCGAATTTGTAGGTTAATGTTTTGGCTTAGTACTTGAAACAACAGAAATGTAGTCCTACAGAAGGATAGCGAGAATACCATAGTCCGAAACTTCTGAGCAACGGCGAAGTTTTAGAGAAAATGGAAACAAGAAAGAAACTAATACTTAACATCAGGAAGAGACAGTGGAAGTTTCTAGCGCACATAATGAGGAAAGAAGGCTCGGAAAATCTGATACTCACAGGACAGGCTGAAGGCGAGAGAGGAAAACAACGCATAACATACTTAGTGAGCTTTAGTAAATCGATTACGGAACAAGGTTTAGATGAAATAAGAGAAAGAGAAAAATTTATTAAGAGCCAAAAGGACAGGAAATTGTGGAGAGTCATGATTACCTACGTCCTGAGGAGACATAGAAAACAAAGAAGACGATGCCTCCTGCGGTGTTGGCCAAAACTACCTACTCCTCTACCAAGAGTTCCAAGAAATAAGACTCAAAATAAAGAGGCTTACGGTCACATCACATTGAAACACCAGTTCCCGTACAATCACCGAAGTTAAGCAACATGTTACCTGGTCAGTACTTAAATGGGTAAATGCTTGGGAATATAAGGTGTAATAGATAATGTCTTGAAATTGTGAATCGGAGAGTCTGGTTTCAATTCCCGTTGGGTTCATTATATTCCCTAACACACAAATACCCTTGCTAAAGATATGAATCCAACTCCTCTCTAGAGAGCTACGTGTTAATTAGTATTAACTTGTATAATTAAACCTTTATTATCTCCCAAAATCAAGGATAGCACATATCTTGTATAAATCATAAAAATTCAGTATGTGGAGAATTACTAAATATAAAACATTTCAAATACCTCGACGTATGGATCAGTTATAACAAATTTAGCACTGGAGAAATCAACCTGAAAGTCATGTTCTGAAATAGCCTAGTCAGATTGAGATTTTCATATGGTTGTCAGACATCAGAAATGTCTGACCTGTCTCAGCGATATACAACCGCGTTCTAAGATAAATGGTTAAAAATGGCTTTGAACGAGTGAAGTCTGGGTATCTTGGCAAATTTCATTCTTCTTTGATTATTGTAGGCTGGCGATATAGAACCACAAACAAAGAATTGTACCGGATAACAGAAACCACATCACTTGAAGACTACCACCAGCAGCAATAGCTAAAATGGATAGCACATGTAAATCAAAGAGAAAATAATGGCATAATCAAGGTTTTGACACTTCAAACTACTTCGTATAAAAGGTTAGGAAGGAAATCCCCCATCGGTACTGGAAAGAGCAATAACAGATACTGGACTTGTAAAACTTGCAAATATGTTTAAAGAGAAAGATTTTATAAACTTCAACTGAAAGCGGTGCTGGCTGCTCTGTCAATTAATGTCAAATGTTTCCTTATAAGGTAATGGCGGCTAATATTACCAGTAACATTACCATTCTATGTTCAAATTCCTTATCTCCTATACTGTTTTTTTAATAAATGATCCCTGTGCTCTGGAAATACATGATTCAACTTTTATGTGTACTCTTTCCCTTGTGAGATAATTTGAGGAAATATGCTGCTATACTGCAATACTGTTCTTACGACTCTAATGAGTTACAGGATTTGTGATGTGACGTAACCAGGGCCGACTCGAGGTACTTGGAAACTCGGGCAGTCGCTCGTGGCGTCATCAAGGCCGAGGGCGCCATCCTGCCGCCATGTCATGTGTTTGTGATCTTCCAAAACCAAAGCTTATAAAAACATATTGCGGCCTTTCATGACTCGAGACAGATTAAATTCTTTGTCTATTGTGTCAATTGAAAATGATCTTGTAAAGAAGATAGGTGTAGAAAATCCCATGAAAAGATTTGCAGATCTAAAGGCTAGAAAAATGTTTTAAGTAGAATAATGAAGGTTTTCTTTGGCTTGTATTAAGTTGTATATTCTACATTTTCAGCTTTTCTCTTTGTGAAAAAGAAAAAAAAACAAAAAAAAAAACTGTGCTTATAAAGGCTTGTCCGGAGTGCTAGCAACCCGAAGGTCGTTACTGCGGATAATGCTAAACTTTCTTTATTTTTACACACACTTAGAATTAGGGTACCCCGAACCATTGTTACCTACGGGTGATCCCTGGCTAAGATCTAGCATCTGTCTGCGCCTCTAACAGGGTTACGATATTTGATTTGTTTTTTGTTTTGTTTTTTGGGGGGTTTTTTTATGTGTGTGTTGATGTGTGTGTGTCTGTGCGTGGCGGCATTGATATGTGTGTGCATGTGTGTAACTCATACAGGTGGAGGGTCAAGGAGAAAAAAAAAGAAAACGTGGGAAGGAGGAAAAGGAAATTTTTTTTTTCTTTTTCTTCGGCGGATGATTAACATGAATGAAAACCGGATAAATGTAAACAGAGTGTGAGGCTGTTCCTGTGTGTGTGCGCGTGTGTGTGTATATGTCTTAGTGAGGGGAATCAGATTCGTACTTACCACTTCAAGCCAAGCACGCCGCCATATTCCTGATCAGATAGAAATTGTGGCTGCGTTTCTTTCCTTTTTTTTATGGAAGAGTGCACATTGCCGGCAAACCGGAAGTCATCAGTGATTGGGCAGTAACTTGCCAAGAAGAGTTGCATGTAGTGTAGTTGGGAAGATGGAAAAAATTGTAGCTAACAGAATGTACACAAGTCGATACCCGATCAGTCTCAGCTAGGTCACTGTGGAGAGTGGGTATAATGTTGAATGACCCGAAACCCCTAATGAACCTCGGCTAGAAACATCACTGATGATGTGTACTAAAAAATCTAATAGATGTATTTTACGAAATGGGAAATGACTATTTTAATTTCAACATTTATTTTGACCAATCAAAAAAGGAATATAAATAACCAATCAACAGACACCACCTCCAAATCCTTTTTGGGTGCAACTGTAAAAATTCCGTTGGAAACAACTAGCGGTTTTTTATTCTTATAAAAGACGAATCAGTTTGTCTTCTAACTTACGCATGAATAAATATCTCTTCGGCTTTCAACCGAGATATGTGAAGGGATTAGGTGTGCAACTGGGCAGCGGCTCTACGATCGCCCCCAGTCGTCTTTACATACAGTATCATTGTTTGAAATATTATGTATGCACGATTTCACAGCTCTAGCATCAATGGTTCATAGTCAGCCTATGAAATTTTCAGCCAAGCCGCGTACTTGGCTGAAAACTTTCTTTATGTTAGACTTAAAACACACTTAGACAGAATTAGGGTACCCCGAACCATTGATACCTACGGGTGATCCCTGGCTAAGTTCTAGTATCTGTCTGCGCCTCTAACAGGGTTACGGTCAATTTTAAATCTTTTCGCTTATATCCCCTTACTTCATAAGTGGCTTATCTTATTTTATTACAATATACAACTTAATACAAGCCAAAGAAAACTTTCATTATCCTACTTAAAACATTTTTCTAGCCTTTAGATCTGCAAATCTTTTAATGGAATTTTCTACACCTATCTTTCTTTACTTTGTTCTGATCTTCCCCATAGCCGTGTATACCTGCGAAATCTGGACAATGAGAAAAAATGTTATCAGAAAGAGCGATACAAATCAGAAGGACGTGTAGCTGTGTTTTATAGATTATGCAAAGGCGTTCGATAAAGTACGCTACAAAGATCTGTTGGAACTACTCAGCAACCAGAACATATTTGGAAAATATATTAGAAAATTCAAGAACCTATACTGGCAGAAAACACCAGGAAGAGACAGCTGAAAGTTTTAGGGAAAATAATGAAGAAAGTGGACTTGGAAAATCTGATACCCAGAAGACAGATTGAAGGCAAGTTGGACAGAGGAAAACAACGCATAACATAGCTTGAGTAAATGGATGGTGGAGCAGGGTTTAGGAGAGATAAAAGAAATTTTTTAAAAGAGCTTAAAAGGACAGAAAATTGTAGAGATCCATGATAGGTCCTAGGGAACACAACACATAAAGAAGAAGAAGAAGAAGAAGAAGAAGAAGAAGAAGAAGAAGAAGAAGAAGAAGAAGCAACACTGGAAAGAAACAATGAAGTTATTAAGAATGCAATATTTCACCGCTCTAGTATAACTCCTTAGCATAAGTCAGTCAATGAACTTTTCACCCACCCTCCTATATCTTTGTTAGTTTCATCTTTAAAAGTACTTTTATTTACCAATGTTTCTATATAAGGTTTTAATCGGACCAATGATATTCAGTTGTGTGTATTATTATAAACTAGAAAGATCCGTGAAAATTCCACGGTTTTCCTATTTGGATATTCTGATGAATCTTAATTCTTAAATTAATGAATAATCATTAACTAACTCATGGCGAGTTCCTTGATAAAATATCCGTAGAAATTCCTGTTACATCGTTATATATCTGAGCTTAACAGCTTTACCAAAATATTGCAGTAACAATCATAAATATGAATGCTGGTTATTATTTTATGAAGTAAGGGGATAAAAATGAAGAGATTTAAAATTGACAACATTTTACATTTCACCGAAACAGACGTTAAACACGTCCGTCTTTTTCTCACTGAAACCAAATAGTGTCTCTGATATATCTTTTGTCTTTCCATGCGTTCATAACGGAATAGTCCATTATTTGTGTTATTTTCTTTCTTTCTTTCTTTCTTTCTTTCTTTCTTTCTTTCTTTCTTTCTTTAATTCCTTCTCTTTCTTTCTTTCTTTCACTCACTCAGTCACTCACTCACTCACCCCAAGAAGCAACACTGGTATGTAATTTTTTCCAGATTTTCCCTGGGATCAAAACTGAATAGTCCATTAATTATGAGGTGTTCACAGGGCGTAAAGGTTGTGTTAACTAAGGGAGGGACAAGCAAAGTCATAATAAGATCATTTTTATATATTTTCTACTAGTATTTACTTAATACAAGGCCCAAGAGCCACTCAAAATAGAGAGTTACTAAATGAAGTACCGCATTTTCTTGTATATAATACGACACCATGTTTCTCGAGCTAAAAACAGGGAATATATTACATCCTAGAGTATAATATGACCCTGGAAATACAGGTATCTCTATGTAATTTCGAAGAGAAATTTTTTTAATCAAAAATATATAAAAATCTACAAAATTATCAAAATATGCGAACCCACTACAATGCAATATTTATTATTTACCTTTTTATAAATGAATATGAAAACAAGTTTTTTTTTTTTTTTTATTAACTATTTTTTAAAAAAAAACTAAGGAACTAAATGAACTAAGGAACAAGAACATTCAAATAAAAAATATTTTTCCGGACATTATACATTTTCTTCTCAAATTATTTGATATCTCATATTGCATTTTGTTTTCGTTTTTCCATTTTTTTCATAAACGTGATCTAGGATCAATTATACCTAATCAATAGAAATCGAAAGCCTGAAACTCTGGCAATTATAGATTACCGACTTTCTACTCTTTTTTGAAACATAATTTAGAATTTTTTTTAAATCGTTGCTACTTTTTTTCTAAAAATGCCTAGAAAATCTGTCAATTTATTGTCAGTCAAGTAATGACTGATGAAGAAATCTTAAATGAAGATTGGACAGTAAGCACCTCGACTAAAGCAATTGGTGGAGCTGGCGAATTCTGTTATATTTG